TTTTTTTCACCACTTCCTACACTAGTGACACCACTGATCCACGCGGTATCCGTCTAGGACCGCCACAGAGTAGGTATGTTAAAATAATCTGGTAATAATTGAACTTAGCTTAGCAAGGTTAAACCTTAACTTTAACGTTAAGCTGCTTTAATTTAGCTGAAGTTAAAAATTGTTGTAAATGTTGATTCTATTTGTAATTCACCATCATCATTTATAATACGCTCATTCTCTACATATTATATGGGTTTTGTATACCAGCATATTTTTCGCGARTCTTAATCTCTTAACATAACCACATAAAAACGATGATTCAAAGCAAAAATTTATTTCATCACATTTATATTTATACTATTATATTATACTATTTTAAAATCACTTTTAATTTATCATTACCACTAAAATTGAGGCCATTATGAATATTATCATTGTTATCTTAATATAGATTGTTTTCCATCGTCGTTAAAACTCAGCATCCTGAAAATACAACGCTGTTTAATCTTAAATGCTGAACAGGTCTATATTACGTTTTATTTTCATTGTGTCCTAGATCAAAGGTTTCAATTTTCGATGGTATATTCAAAAGATTCTAATTTTATTTCACTGGACAAACAGTATATATATACATATATAGATATTATAAAATATAGAAGTTTATCGCGTGCATTTCGTAGCCTGTTAAAAATCCTAGTTACTAAGTGATAGGCCTATATTATATCATTCAATTGAATATTTGAATTGTCAGACTTTTCTTGATAGAACGAATAAAATTACATAATGACAAACTAAATTGAATCTTGTTGYAAGATTATTACTTAGGATATTTTAACCGATATCTATCTATRTGTATAAAAAAATACTGCYAACATAATCACATGAAACAAATTTAATACACAGTTTGAGACATAATATAAGAAGTAGGAATTTAACGGGCTACACAAAGTACACGGGTTAAGTTAATGAATAATAATAATAAAAAATAATTAACCATCACCAATTGCAACCATTTATAAACAGCATTTTCCATCATAAATCTCGAAATGTCTGTTTGAGCACCTCCCGTGGTTGGGCCTATCAATTTTTAACTTTGACAATATTCTGCGCATAGTTCTAATATATCTCTGTAACAATTGCCGTCGCAATTAGTTCACCCGATTAGGGATACATAAAGGAGATACA